CGTTGACAGCTTGGCCGCCAATGCCCTGCGTCGCCTGTGCAGGGGCTCCTGCTGCTCGGCTGACCTCGGCTGGACCCGAGCAGGGCTCGGTGGGGGTGGGGGTCGGAATTCCTCGGAGTCCGCCAGCGCCCTCCCCCCTCCCGCTCCAGCTGGGCCTGGCCGGTGTTGTGACACCAGGTAGCCAGCGCCTCTGCCACTCGGTCTCAGATTCCAGGGCAGGCGGGGGTAGTTTCTCCCTTTGGCCTTTTACCGTGACCCTTGCAGACGCCCAGTGGATTCATCTGTCCCCTGAATCGAAGGATCAGCCCCTTCTCTGTGAATAGGAAGACAGCCAGGACAAGAACCAGTTGGTTCTCCTGATAATCTGGCCCAACCCTCACCCTGGCATGTTTCTGGAGGCCCACGGAAGGACCATCAAGGGGAGAGCCTAATACTGTTTTTCCTCCTTGTTCAAAACCCTGATCTGAGGCCTCAGCACAAGCAGGCCTGCACCAGGGAGGCCTGCGCCCCACTTCCCCAGTGCCTCGTGACAGGCACTGTTTTCCTTAGTATCTGCATGATCAGAAGGCGCCTGTACAGCCTCCCTAGTGGTGGGGACGCTGAAGTGTGGGCAACTTTGGTGGCAGCCCCTCATGGGGCCTTGCTGGGTCTCAGCCATGGAGCTAGGCTCCCTGCCCGGAGGTCCAGGAGCAGAACAGCTCTCTCACTGCTGCCTGGAGAGGGAGAAGGGCTGGACCAGGGAGGGCTCCTACGCTAGAGCCCACTCTTCTAGTGAGAACCTGTGGAATCGAGGAAAGGGGTGGCTCTGGGAACTGCAAAGTAGCATTTGGCTGTGCACTGGAGAGTGACACTGTACACCAGCTCTGGGGCCCCAGAGTCCTCACAAGCACCCGGGAAAGAGTCAGTGGCCCTGAAACTGAAAAAAAAGGTTGGTCCTCTCTGTCTAGCTTCAGCTCACTTTCTGGGGCTTAAAAATGCACTTGTGTTTGATGACGCAAGCGATACATGAAAACATTCTCTGTAAACAACTCAAGCATTGCAAAAAACTGCAATCCACCCTGTGCTGTACCTCCTTGGCCGCTTGGATCCTCCTCCTCTGGCCTCACTAACCCCTATGTTGCCCTCCAGGAGGAGGCCGGCGGAGGCAGGGGACATGACCAGGTGCGGAACCTGCAGAGTGAGGTGGAGGGAGTCAAGAATATCATGACCCAGAATGTGGAGCGGATCCTGGCCCGTGGGGAAAACCTGGACCATCTCCGCAACAAGACCGAGGATCTGGAAGCCACCGTGAGATGGGGAGCCTGCTGGGGAGGGAGGTTCTTGACTGTTCTGGGAATTGACATGAGTCCCCAATTCTAGTTCAGCACCACTCTGGATTGGTTTGGAGTCCAGGAAATGGATCCAGTAACTGGGTTTGGGGAGGAGACATTTTTTGCCACAGCTCAGTCTTTCCTCTGAAACCGATTCTCCCTTTGATGCCTGCCTTTGAGTCATTTTGGCCTGGAAAAAGTATCAGCTTTGGGAAAATCCTCTGGCCTTTGACATTCCCAAGGGTTATTATGTGGGGGTGAAAACCTCCTGGAGTCTTGCTTAGTAGGTCTTAAAGAGAATCTGGAAAGAGCAGTGAAATCCTTTGAAGCCAGGATCTGCAAAGGCTGGAATACCTCCACTCATCTTGTTAGGCCTTTCCTTTCCAGCTAGGGGCCCAGGCCAATGGCTTAGGGAGAAAGTCATTTCCAAGTTCAGATGAGGCTGCAGCCTCAGGCCCCATGTCTCGCGGAGAGACTGGATCTGGCTTTTCAGACTTGTGTGTGGGATGCTTATCGCTTCTTGGTCTCTGGAGACTGAGTGCCCCTCTGCAGCCTCATCTAGATACAAGTGTGCCGGTGCAGCTGGGGAAAGAGGAGCGCCCCCTACTTCCAACCCCCTGTACTGCTCTGGTCCTCCCTACAGTTCCACAGCTCCCAGGGGACAAGGAGTCCTGGAGCCAGGGGATATACTCACCTGGAACCTGCAGCCCTCAGCCCCAAGGTCTGCCTTCCCAGAGACAGACTGCTGCTAGGGTCACATCAAGAGCAGGGGAACTCCTAGTCCCTGACACATTCAGATGGAGGGTCCCTGAAGCCCAGGAACCTCAGCTTGGGCCTGGCTGTGACCCTGCTATCAGTGCATCTGTGAAGGTGGGAGGGGAGGGCAACTTCTGCTTCACAGCTGATTGCCTGGGCTTATGCCCAGTGGGCAGGCCCCAGGCCCCTCACCTGGCCTTGTACCTGACAGTCAGAGCACTTCAAGACCACGTCTCAGAAGGTGGCACGCAAGTTCTGGTGGAAGAATGTGAAGATGATCGTGCTCATCTGCGTGGTCGTGTTCATCTTCATCCTCCTCATCGTGCTCTTCAGCACGGGTGCCATCCCCACCTAGGCTGCCCTGCCCCGCTCCTCCAAGGAACGCTACCCGGTGAGGCCCCTGCCACGCCCCAGGAGCAACTTGATGCCCAGAAGGCGAGAGCTGGACTGGTCCCTAGAGCTGCTTGGGAAGACCCAGAGGACCCTGTGTGTGGCTGGGAAACTGTTGGTGGCTGGTGGGCAATAAAGACCTTTCAGTGTCTCTGTGTGTGAGGTGTCCTCCCTCCGCAGTTAGCCCTGGGCCTTGCATTCCTTCCTCCTGGGCTGCCCTCTGGCCAAGCTGCTGGAGGGGTGGAAAGCATGTTTGCAGAAGGAAGGGGGGGTCCCTGTCTTTTTTTGTTTTATTTATAGTGCTGGGGACTGGACTCAGGGCCTCCGTGTGCTAGGCAGGCACTTTACCACTGAGCGACACCCTCAGTCCTTGATATTTTTTATTTTGAGACAGGGTCTTTCTAGGTTGCCCAGGCTGGCCTCACCCTTGCACTCCTCCTAAGTCGCTGGGATACAGGCATGGCCACCACATCAACTTTCTTCATTCCACCCTGTTCTATATTGTCACAGTTCTCAAGAACAAGAATTTTCTTGAGGATCTTGACATAAGGAAAATGCAAACCCTTCACAATACCTTAGAGTGACATGCGAGACTCAGTGTCCCCCTTGGGCCCTGCCACGTCCCTTCGTTCCTCTCCTTGGAAGCACTGGCTGAGTCATGAAGCGCTCCTGAGCAATGTTAGGCCTGGTGGAGGGCCTCCTGGCTCTGCTGCCATTGCCATCTATCTCCCTTCTATGGCCCTGTTGTAATCCAGAGCCAAAAGTTGAAGGAATTAGCCTGTTTTCATTTTCTGAAAGTTGAGCATTCTGTTTGTCTTTTGTCTGTCCCTTCCCTGAGATTGAGCAGGCCCTGGTTCTTGGCTGTTCTGAGGGGGTGAGCATCTCTTCCCCACACCCCCGGCTGGGCACAGTCAGGGTCACAGGACAGGCCTGTGGCCCTCCTTTCCCTGCGTGCACAATGAGCTTTCTGTCTTCTGATCTTCCGTCTCCCCACCAGGTCCCACTGTCCCTGGGGCTCGGTCCGGTGCCCAGTCGCCTGGTGGGTGGTAGGGTTCCTGTCCTGTTTCCTCCATAGTCTTCACAGCACTGGAAGCAGCTTGTTAGGAAGAGTGGTGAAGGGGTTGGATTGAGAGGATTGGGACTGATTGGAAGTCATATTCTGGAATGTTCTCTGAACTCTGGGAAGGCAGGCTTCCGGAGACTGCAGTCCTTACTCTCCTCACTGCACTCCTGGATGCACCATCTAAGCTTGGGACGCAGGCCCTGCACAGTGGAGTGCAGATCTGTGCTCACTGAGACTCGGAGTGGGGATGTTAGGACTGGCCAGTTACGGGTCAGTTACTTACCAAGCTGGCAAAGCCCCTCCTGTCCTGTGGGGATGTCTCCAGGGCCCAGTAAGGAATGGATGGGGTAGGCACATATGCGTGATGAGTGAGTGAATGACACCTCCCTGTTAAGCCCATGAACCCACTTCCTATGCCTCCTGGGAGGGCCACAGTGCTACTATGACCGCTATGCCACTTCCTATAGTGGGCTTCCGAGGGGTGGCCAGCATGCAGATTCACCTAGCGCAGGCTGACTAGAGATAACCTAATCCACCAGGAATAGCTTTACCACCAGGAATAGTCCAATCTACCAGAGACACAGCCCCACTCACCAGGCACAGCCCACCCATCTAGTATAGCCCCACCCACCATGTATAACATACTCACCAGGAATAGTCCCACCCACCGGGTATAGCCCATCCACCAGGAATAACCCTTCCACCAGGTATACCTCCATCCACCAGGCATAGCCCATCCACCTAGTATAGCCCCACCCACCAGGTATATCTCCATCCACCAGCCATAGCCCATCAACCAGGCATAGCCAATCCACCAGGCATAGCCCACCCACTATGTATACCTCCGTCCACCACACATAGCCCCACCCACCCGGCATACATCCACCTACCAGGTATACCTCCACCCACCGGGCATGGCCCATCCACTGGGCATAGCCCCACACAGCAGGCTCATCCCTATCCACCAAACTAGCTCCCTCCGCCAAGCATAGACCCGTCCATCAGGTGGCATCCATATTCCAGCGCCTGCAGCCCGGCAGGAGGCGCCCCGCGGACCTTTGGCTGTCTGTCGCCTGCCGCTTTCGATTCTACCAGGTCTGGGTCGCGCCTCTCGGAAGGTCCAGCGCCGGCCCCGCCCTCGGCTTCCTCCGGGGCAGCGGGCGCGGAGCAGCGCGGCGATGGTGAGGGTCCAGGAGGGCCGGGCGGGCCAGAGTCCCGGGCGGGGGCGGGGGCGGCGGGACGGTGCCCTGGGCTGCGCTGCCCATCTGCTTGGGCGGCGCAGGCGGACCGGGTGACCCGGGCTGGGATCCCGGCGATTCGACCCGGAGAGTCACTTAACCTCGGAACCTCCTTTTCCGCACTGTGAAGTGGGGTCGGCAATACCCGTCTTATTGGGACCTTTGGCTGTTAAAGGCGGTCCCCTGGCCGACCGGGAGCTGGGAGCCACCGCGGGTGGAAGGTGGTGGCACTCCAGCCCGATGGCACTCCAGCCATCCCGGAGAGGAGCCAGGCCTGGCCCGGGGGTGGGAACCTGAGAGGCCAAGGTGGTAGAGGCTGTTCCAGCCCCTTGGCTAGTGCTGGAGGACACATCCCTTGGGAGAGAGAAGAGAACTTGTTTACTGTAGAAGTTCCACCAACGTTATCGGGTGGCCCAGGCCTGACTCCTCCTAGCCTCCATTCAGTGACATCCCTGAGTTGTCACCCCACTCCTGCTGCAGTCTCTGGGCTGTCCTCACTTGCTTCTCCAAGGCAAGGGTGTTAGGGAGGGCAGGTCCCAAGCTCCCACCTCCCCTGGGGCTCCTGGGAAGATGCACCAGGCTAGAAACAGTCTTGGGAAGCTGGCAGAGGTGTGATGGAGGTGGCCCAGGCAGGGTCAGGATGCTGGATGGCTTAGTCTCCAGGGACCTGGAGGCAGGAAGGGGAAGTGGTGCAGGAAGGTTAGACTGAGCTCTGGGGCCACCAGGAAACTGGTGCTCCAAGCTTGGGGACAGAGCCAGAGCCCATTCCTGAGCACGCAGGGCAAGAGAGCAAGCAGGGCCAGAGGAAGCTTCTGGCTGCCCTTAGCCTCGGGGAAGAAGGCAGGGCCAGGGTAACTTACTGGGGGCACTGGGGGATCTCTGGACTCTCCCAGGTCCCTCTGTGTCAGAGGTGTCAGAGCCGGGGCAGGCTTACTCTCCTCCACCAGCCACCTCCAGTCCTATTTTTCTTCCACTCTTGCCCTCTCTGTCCCTAGCTCTTCCCCTCCTTCTTTCCATCCCTTTCCCTGGCCTTTCCTCCTTTCCCTTTTCTGCTCCTCTTCTCCGTGCCTCATTGGATCAACACAGAATTTTTTGGGCAGTTCCTCTGTGCCAGATGTGGTGACAGTAAAGGGATTAAAGCAGGAACAAAGCCAAGATGGGAAAGGTGGGAGCTGATTGCCTGCAGCCAGTCACCTTGGACAGGTCCTAGAGCATCGAGGTGCCGAGCCACAGGCCCCTCAGAGGCACACAGATTGGGCTGGCTGGGCCAGGTAGGCCCTGGACCTCCTTCACCTGATCCGGTGTAGCAGGGGTTATGCATGTGATCCCCAGGGCGGGGGTGTGCTCAGTGGTGGATCCCTTGCCTATCAGGGTGAGGTTCTGGGGCTATGCGCACACACATACACACATCCCTGGGTTCCAGTTGGTTCGACTCCCAGACTTTCTACCCACTGGCTCTGTGACCTTCCACAGGTGATTTAACACCTTTGGCCAAAGTCCTCATAAAACTGGGATAGTAATACTGCATTCAGTGGGTTGTTGTGAAGATGGAATGAAATAGAGTGAGTGAGCAGCTGGCAGCCTGGTGCCTAGGCCAGGGCACATGTCCTCTGAAAGGCGGCCACGTTCCTGCTCAAGATTCAAGGGCCCATGACACCAGATGTGATAGCTAGATGCTAGTTCTCATGAAAAATTCCCTATTTAGGTTAGGAACAACCAGGCATGGTGATACACTCCTGTAATCCCAGTGGGTCAAGACGCTGAGGGAGGAGAGTCGAAAGTTAGTTCAAGGTCAGCCTGGGCAACCCACAGAGATCCTGTCTCTAATTAATTAATTAATAGGACTGGCACATGCCTGTAATCTCAGTAACTTGAGAGGCCAAATCAGGAGGATTGCAAGTTTGAGGCTAGCCTAAACAATTTAGCCAGAAACTGTCTCAAAAATTAAAAATACAAAGGGTTGAGGAGTAAGTTCAGTGGTAGAGGACTTGTCTAGCATGTGTAAAGCCCTGGGTTCAAACCCCAGCACTGCGAAAAGAAAGGAAGGGAGAGTGGGAAGAAGGAAAGAGAAAGAAGGAAGGAGTGTCCAACAGAGAAGAGTTTTATTGCTTGTGCATTTTGTGAAAACTAAGAGGATTTAATTGATTGATTGATTGGTACCAGGGACTGAACTCAGGGATGCTTAATCACTTAGCCACATCCTCGTCCCTTTTATAAAAAAAATTATAGTTGTAGATGGACAACAGACTTTATTTTGTTTATTTATTTGTTTTATGTGGTGCTAAGGCTCTCTGCCACTGAAGTATGGCCCCAGCCACTGCCACCAGCCCCTTTTTATATTTTACTTTGAGGCAGGGTCTTGCTAAGTTTTTTAGGGCCTCACTAAATTGCTAAGGCTGGTTTTGAACTCATGATCCTCCTGGCTCAGCCTCCTGAGCTGCTGGGATTACAAGTGTGTGCCACCATGTCCAGCAAGAGGTTTTATTATTTATTTATTTATTGTTTTGGTAATGGGAGTTGAACCCAGGAACACTTTTTATTTTTATTTACATATTTTTACATACATGTATTTAAATTCCCTTTTTATTTTTTATTTTGAGAAGGGTCTCCCTAAATTTCCCAGGCTGGCCTCCAACTTGCAATTCTCTTGCTTCAGCCTCCAAAGTCCCTGGGATTTCAGACATGCACCACCACAAGTGTAGTGCAGTTCTTAAGATCTGACTGCTAGACAACATGTGAAGGAAAGCTAGGGAAATTGGGGATACATTAATTTTAATGATAGTCATTTATTGAGCATTTGGTATGTGTCAGGCATTGTGCTAAGCTTTTTGTTTAGAGTATATCACATAATCTTCAACTAATATTGTGAGGTAGGTATTGTTATTACCACCACTTTATAGATGAGGAAGCAGAGGATCAGCAAGGTCATATCCTCCGTTTTTGGTCACTGGGCTGGTGAGTGGCAGAGGCAGGATTTGAACAGGATACAGCAAAGACCCTGCTCTTTGTGACTGAGCTCAGCGCTGAGCCAGGGAAATCACAAGACAGAACTTGCACCCGCCCATCCCCAGCAGATGGGAACAGGACTTCTTGGAGACTCAACAAGATACAGGAGACAAGAGAGTTGGAGAGGGAGGTTGGTTGATTTGTCTCTCTGTGTTGCCCAACCTGATCCCAAGCTCTGGCCTCCAACCTCAGCCTCCCCAGCAGCTGGGTTCACAGGTGCATGCCCCTGCACCTGGCAATAGGCCCAGTTTTTGCTTTTGGTTTTGCAGTGCTGGGGTCCAGCTCAGGGCTTGGGTGCTGGGCTAGTAATAGACTCCCCTAGCCCAGAAGGGAGGTTTGGGGGAGCTGCATTTTCAGAGGAGAAACTAAGGATGGGGCCTGGAAACGCCTGAAAGGGAATTTGAAGGTGGGGAATGTAGCTTGGGGGTAGAGCACTTGTCTAGCATGTGTGGTCTTGGGTTCTGTCCCTAGTGTGGAGGTGGGGTTGAGTGACAGACAGGAACATCTGTCAAGAACATTTCCTGCGTAACTGCCACCCTGTCTGGCAACAACTGCTACCCCTCCCCCTGGCTCCAAACCCCATGTCCTGCAGGCCCCTGGCAGGTTTCAGAAGTGCCTCTCCAAACTGCCCTTCCTCTCTGCGTTCCTGCCCCTCCTCACCCCAGCCTGGCAGGCCTCTCCTCACACTCCGCTGATTGCCCCTGTACCCTGCTGGCCCACCTCTCTGACCTCTCTGCCCAACTTCCCTCACTTTGATCCGTGGCTGTGGAGTCAGAGGGCTTCCTGCCCTCCAGCGGCTCCCCTCTGACACTCGCTTTCTCCAGCCCACTCAGCCCCTCTGTCCTTCTCTGGTTCTTCACTGTCTGGGTGGTGTCCCTGCAAAAACAGGCTCAGTCCATTCAGAAAACACGTGTCACGTGCTGTGTCTGCCCTTTGCCAGGCACTGGGTTGAGTCACAAGTGAGGCAGGGCAGCCTGGACCCTGCCCTCCAGGTCCTCTCCTCCAACATTCCCCAGTGCTTTCTCTCTCACATGCCAACAGAGACTGTGCACCTGGTGTCCTTTTACCCAGGGCTGAGCAGGACCAAGGAGCACTGAGTCCTGAGTCTCTGTTTTCTCTCAGGATAGATAGAGCATGTCTTTCAGGAAGGGGCCTCTCTGGGCTCAGAGAGGGAGACTGCTGTTGACTGCATCTGGGGGCACAGCCAGCCCTTAGGAGAACTGACCCGGTGTCACCCTGTACTGGAGCAGGATAGCTACAGCTGTAGAGGTCATCACACAAAAGATAACACCCAGCATCTTCCTGTCTCTAGCCATGTTTCTCATTTTTGAATCTTTGTCCATTCCCAAGCATTTGCCTTGGACTTCCGGAATGTGGAATAAGACTGCCTGGGAAGATATTGCAATAGAGGAGAGGGGGACTTGGGAGAGGACACAAGCAAGCAGCCATTACTCCCCCAGTTTCCCCAGCCTGTGAGTGCACACCACCACCTGTGGTTGCCAGACCCTTCTAAAGAAGCAGGTTGTTTGTCTAGTTCCTGGGTAAATATTTGACCTGTTTGGGTTTCAGATGCTTGTCTCTTGAAACTCCCAAAACTCCCACTGGGCTTTATAAGCGCACCAGGAGAACATCTCTGACCATCAGAGTTGTTTTTGGATAGGCTGTAAAGAACTGGCCAGCTCACCAGACCTGCAAGGGTCAGCGCTGCGCTTGTGGTGCAGAAAGAGGGCATGTCCCTGCTATCTCTCTGGGAGCGTGTGGTCCCACTGGGGAGCTTCAGGGGTCCTGAAGGAAGAGGGGGAGGAAGTCCTCTGGGACTACCAGATCCTTTCCAATGCCAGAATGTCTGCTGAGGGCAATGGCCACAGAGCAGGCAGGAATGGGAGCTTGGTGACATTCTGAGGAGGAGACAGAAGAGGGACAGGGTTGTGGGGATGAGGGTTAGGAGGGGAGGGAGCTGAACTGTCCCTGGACCTGCTCCTGGGCCTGCAGCTGATGGGGGATGGGGGTGGGGGTAGGGGGGTGGAGGCTTCCTGTCCTGGTCCTTAGTCATGTGTGTCCATCGCCCAGCTGGCTCGGAACCTGCACTTCCCTTCCCAGTCCTACAGAGTAGGCTGGGTTGGTTCAGGTGAGAGTTGCTGCCCAGGCTGGGAAATTTAGGGGTTGGTCTCACCTCTGTGCTGACTGGAAGGCTGGAGGCTAGAGGCTGAGGTTCCCCAGCAGGAAGGGGACTGATGTGGGCACTGACGTGATGGGGGATGGGCAGGAAGCAGAACAGGCCTGACCAGCCAGAGGCCCAAGGAGGGGACCTGGGAGTCACTCTGGGAAAGCTTAGGCAGACACTGTGACATGAGCTGGTCCAGAACCATTTTTCTAGCCCTGTGGATTGACTCTCCTCCCTGTCTGTCTTGCCACCAAGTCACTTGTTTCTTTGGGGCCACCTTAGCCTGAGTTCAGTGGGAAGCTGTAGGAGGATGTGCACTGGGTAGATGCCGCCTGCAGGTCTGGGGTCCTGTGGAAGCTTCCCACCTGGGGCAGCTCAGAGGAAGTGAGGCTCTGGAAGCCAGGCCTGATTTATGCCTGGCCTTGATGGACCAGGGAGGAGCCCCACCCACCCGGAAGGTCAGCCCTTCTCTGCCCACATCTTGCCTTATGTGAAGGATGCTGTTACACCTCCCATGGGGGAAGGAGGGTTCCAGCTTAGGGCCAGATGGAGCCTCATACAGCCCTGACCTTGGGCTTGGTGCCCAGGCAGGGAACGAGTTGGAGCGATGCCAGAGGCAGGCGGACGAGGTGACGGAAATCATGCTCAACAACTTCGACAAAGTCCTGGAGCGTGACGGGAAGCTGGCAGAGCTGGAGCAGCGTTCAGACCAACTCCTGGACATGGTGTGAGGCCCGGGCAAGCACAGATGGGAGGGAGAGCCTCTCAGGCTGTTCTCAAGGCCTCCAGGCCCTTGGTGGAGGCCTCTGGGTCTCCTGAGGCACCCTAGCCTAGATGTGCAATTGGGTAGGCCTCACACAGTAAGAAGGCCTGGGTCTGAAGGTCGGGGGTTGGCATTGCTAACCAGGGGTGAGCCGGGAGGGCTAATAGCCAAGGGCTACCTGGTGTCTGAGACTAGAAGCAGACCAGGAGAGTCCCAGGGCAGTGTGTGAGGAGGACCAGGGGACCAGGCTCTGCTGGGATGGACGGGAGGAGTTGGCTCAGAGGCCCCATGGGAGCCACTAATTCCCACCTGTGTCTGGGGTATCCACAGAGTTCAGCCTTCAGCAAGACAACCAAGACCCTCGCCCAGAAGAAGCGCTGGGAGAATATCCGCTGTAGGATCTACATGGGGCTGGCGGTGGCAGGTGGCCTACTCATACTTTTGATTGTACTGCTGGCCATCTTTCTTCCGCAGAGCAGTGGGGACAGCAGTGCCCCACAGGCCCGGGACACAGGCGTTGCCTCAGGGCCTGGGGACTGACACAGCAGGCCTGGGGGAGAGGCTGAAGGGCTTCAGTGGTCAGCTCTGGTCTCCAGAGAACCCTGGTGTTTGTCCCCTTCTGAGCCACCCCAGTGACACCAAAGGGCAACCCTGAGACGTGCACCACTGCACCTCCCATCTTGCAACAGACTGGTCCTCAGTGGCAGCTTGCCACACCAGCAACACCAGGCCAGCCCCACTGGAGCTCAGTAAAAGCCACTGTCTGGCTAAAAGCTGGTGTGAGTGTGTGTGTTTCTGAAGCTCCTTTGCCGCCACCCTGGGGCTGTTCAGCCTTCCACCCAAGGGGCTGCATCCCCCTCTTTTATCTTCCCTGCTTCTTCCTTGATCCAACCCTGCTCACCTTTCTGGAGTAAGAGTGCAAGGACACAGTGTTGTCGGGTGTCCTAGGCCAGGGCCTAACTCTGGGAATACAACGAACCAGCTCTGGCCACCTAACTAGGAAACCAAACAGAAACAGGATGGGGAACGGTGAAGAGCAGGAAAGGAACTGTAAGGGGACCCATGTCCTTAGCCCTGTTTTTGAGGGGACAACTGTGACTCTGAGGTTTTATCAAAAGGGGAATGAGAGCAGGGGTTTGGGGTCTGCATAGCTGGAGGCTATTCATAGCTGCCAAAGCAGTGATCTCTTTCCTTTTTTGGCATGAGGAATTGAACCCAGAGGGGCTTAACCACTAAGCCACATCGCCAGCCTTTCTTAAAAAAATTTTATTCTGAGACAGTCTCACTAAGTTGCCTAGGGCATAATCAAGTTGCTGAGGCTGGCTTTGAACTTCTGATCCTCCTACCTCAGCCTCCTGAGCTGCTGGGATTACAGGTGTGTGCCAATATGCACAAGCCCAAAGCAGGTGATCTTGATCAGGTGTGGTCTGTCCATCATTATCTCAGGATTGGTCAGGCAGGCCTTGTTGAGATAAGGAAGGTACTGTTGCCTGTGGGTAGGGGAGTGAGGAGCTTGGATTCATCACAAGATGCTCATCAGATCACACTTTGTTCCTGGAATCGAAGGTGACATGGAGTAAAGGAGATGGATATAAAATGTAGGCAGAGATGCAAAGTCTTTAATCCTGCTTTTAGGAACCCTTTGGACATTCGCAGTCATATATATACACACACACACACACATATTTGTTTTATTTTTTTAATGTGGTGCTGAGGATTGAACCCAGCGCGCCTCACGCATGCCAAGTGAGCACACTACCACTTGAACCACATCCCCAGCCCCTGGACATCTGCAGTCTTAAGACTTAAGAGTCTTAAGTCCTTGTTATAACAACAGTCATCAAACCAGAACCTTGAGCCTACTTTCCTGAACATCAAATCTATTACCTTTGACATCTTGGGAAACTCAGAGGGACTTTAGGTGGGAGGACAGTACTTCAGAGATGTTTTCATGAGGCCGTCACCTGCAGCAGTGGGGTCCCAGGAAGCTCCCCACCTGGGGAAGCTCAGAGGAAGCTGAGGTTCTGGAATCCAGGCCCAATGGACCAGGGAAGAGAAAAGAGGGATGCAGAGTCAGATGGACATTTCCCCTCTCAATACTCCCCCTCCCCAATTTCACTGCCTGTGTTCCTTCTTAAGCTTTAACACCTGCAGGGGGGCGCCTGTGGTACTACAGTGTAGGGTCATTGTCCTGTAGGAAAGAATCCAGACATTTCAACATTCCAGAGACACATGTGGCCACAGGCATGGAAGAAGGAAAGAAGGTCCCACACACTGTGGAAGCAGGGCAGCTTCTGCATGGGCTACTTAACTGCAGCTCAAACTCAAAAGTGAGTGGCAAAGGAATTAGAGGTAAAGTGTGTAAAATTAGCAGTTCCTTGTTAGATAGAGGGTTACTGACAAAGAAGAAAAAACTCAGAGTTTTGTGACCTTTACTCACAGTGTGACACAGTGAAAGTACACTTTCACTGGACTTATCATGGTCTTTCTCTTCTGGGAAAGAAGGAAGCACCATTTACAGACTGTGTCATTTTGAGTGAACCCTTTTTTGGCACTGGGGATTTGGTACCAAGCGTGATTTACCACTGAGCTACAACCCCAGCCATTTTATTTTATTTTTTTAGTTTGAGACAGGGTCTCGCTAGGTTTCTGAGGGACTCCCTAAACTGCCGAGGCCGGGCCAGTCACTTCTGATACTTGCGTTTTACGTAATTAAAAGGGCAGAAGAGAGGCTGAGGGAGTAGCTCAGGGGAAAGCACGCACTTAGAGGCCCTGAGTTCAATCCCCAGCAGCTAAAATCAATACTGCATGATTGGGTTTAGCTCCCAGGACTATTGCAAGGATCACTGATACTGTTTGTAATACATCCATCAATGCAAATAATCCAGTGCAATGATTCTCAGCAATGCCTCGCCTTAGAATCACACGCCGCTCCGCAGACAGGCTAGTTTGAAATCTTCCGGATAAGAGCGCTACCCGCTCTTCTGAAGGTGGGGGGTGGGAAATGATATGCAGCCAGGGATGCAAACTAGTAATTTAGCTCAAGAAGCTGCGCAGGGGGCTAAGGTAAACAGCCCCGAGCAAAGGTGAGGCTGCCCGCGTTCATCGCCAAGCAAATATATCGGAAGCGCAGGAGCTCTTCCCCGCGCAGCGAGGTGCAGATTCCAGCACCCGCACGTTGAGACGGCGAGGCCACGGGGCGGTGGAAGACCGCAACCGCCCTTTCGCCTCCACGACTGAGATCACGCCAGAAATTCCCGGGAATTCCTTCTTCCTCCGATCCCATTGGTCGCAGTCTTTGGTCACCTGACTCGTCCTACCAACCAGAGACGGCAGAATCAGTACTTCCGCTTTCTGTACGTTAACCAACCACTACGCCCGCCCTTCCAGTATCCTGATTGGCTGGCTCCTCCCAAGTCGCCAGTTTATTGGCCAGCGCCTCGGGGCCGCGACCCAGCGGGTCCGAGGGCTGTGTCAGACCGCAGCGGCCATGGCGTCCTATTTCGACGAGCATGACTGCGAGACGTTGGACCGCGAGCAGGATGCCCGAACCAACATGCTGCTGGAGCTCGCAAGGTGGGCGCGGGCCGGCCGGGGCGGGGCCCTGGGGGCGGGGCGCCGAGGGGAAGCGGCCCAGCCCACCGCGGCTCGGGCCCAGGCGCTCCCGGAGGGCCTTGCGTGGCCTGGGCTACTCCCCCGATGTGCCGGGGTATTCGGATCAGCTGCAAGCCAGTCCCAACGTGCTTTTTATCTAATAATGAGCGCCAACTGTGTACAGGGTAGCTGTTATTACTGCTAGTTGGGAATTGAATCCAGGGTCGCTCAACCACTAGCTACGCTCCTAGCCCGTTTTAGTTTTTATTTTGAGTCAAGGTCTTGCTAAGTTGCTTAGGACCTCACTAAATTGCTAAACTGGCATTGAACTTACATCCTCCTACCTCAGCCTCTCTGGTCGTTGGGATTACAGGCGTGCAACACTGCACCTGGTCCTCTTTATTTAAAAAAAATTTTTTTGTGTGTGTACACACACACATCACACACATTTTTTGGTACTGGGCACATTTTTTTTTGGATATATTTTTGGTAGTGAGGATAGATCCTGGGATCTCAAGGGGATGCTGGAAAACACTCTACCACCCAGCTATACCCGGAGTCCCTCTCTCTTGATACAAGGTCTTGCTAAGTTGCTGAGGCTGGCCTTGAAAGTGTCATCCTCCTGAGTTTGGGGATTACAGGCTTGCTAGTGTCTGGGTACCAGGCTGGGCAGGATATTTGTGTGTTTGTCCTCAGTTACTTTGGGGCAAAGAGGAAGTGTGGCTTTTCTTGGTTCTGACCTTGCAGCCTCCTCCCAGGTCTCTCTTCAATAGGATGGATCTTGAAGACTTGGGACTGGTCGTAGACTGGGATCACCACTTGCCTCCACCAGCTGCCAAGGCTGCGGTGGAGAGCCTCCCCAGGACAGTCATCAGTGGCTCTCAGGCTGGTGAGGACATCACATCCTTCTGCTGTCTGGGCAGGTCTGCAGACTGTGGTCTAGCCCTTCAGTGTTCCAGACCCCCACTGGGGCAAGCCTGACCTTCGGGAGTGGGAGCTGGGTGGGGGAGCCTGCAGCCGCTCTCCTGATCAGCACTCCTTCCTCAAGAGCTCAAGTGCCCCGTGTGTCTTTTGGAATTTGAGGAGCAGGAGACTGTCATTGAGATGCCTTGCCATCACCTCTTCCATTCCAACTGCATTCTGCCCTGGCTGAGCAAGGTACTGCTTCCTTCCTTCCTATCATCAGTTCTTAGGGTTTTTTTCTGGGATCAAAGAACAGTGGAGTAGGGGTTGGGGAGCTGGAGAGGGTGATTAGCTTGTGAATGAGACCAGACTTGGGCTGAAACATAACCTACTTTTCCCAGACAAATTCCTGCCCCCTGTGCCGCCACGAGCTGCCCACTGATGATGATACATACGAGGAGCATAGACGAGATAAGGTAGGACCTGGTGAGGGCTATCATGGGTCCTTGGCCTGGCCCCACTGTGCTCATTCTCTTCCTCAGAAGGGTGGGCTAGGCCTTTGGATTCCCTGGCTTTGGCCACCTTTTCAGTGATCACTAAGGAGCAGAAATCTCAAGAGTGCAGAAGCTAGGGGCCCAACACGAGATCTAGCCCTGTGGTTGCTGCCCATTCCTCCCCGTGGGTCTTCAGGCTGGCCCTGCCTGTGTTCCCTCTGTCTTCCAGGCTCGAAAGCAGCAGCAGCAGCACCGCCTGGAGAACCTCCATGGGGCCATGTACACGTGAGACAGCTGGGCTGAGTGCCCACCCTCCACAGCGTCTCCCTCCACACCTGAACCCTCATTAAACATGTCTTTGCCCACCTGCAACTGCATTGTTCACAGGCTGGGGCAGGGGCTGGCGTCCTCTACCAGGTCCCTGCTGCTCTTGGGTGAGGTGGTGCTGAACAGCAGAAGGTGCCAGGCTGCATGTCCCTCCCCAGCGGCCTGTCTAGACTCAGGGTGGTGGAGCTCAGGTAAAGAGCCTGCCACCAGGCAGCCAAGGTTTGGCCTGTACTGGTGGTTGGAAGGCACACTCTGCCAGGGCCTGTACCTCGCAGCTATTTAAAGCTGATAAACTAACCTGCACTTCCCTCCCCCCACTGCAATTTCTAGTTAACCTTGGAACCTTCAGTTAACCTTGGAATCCTAGAGTGTTCTTTAGCACCAGAGAGAAAATTGCTTTTAACATTTTAAAAGTTGCTCTGTATCTTTCCCTCCCCATATCCCCCTACCTTAGAATCAAAGTTCAAACCAGACTGAGTGGGGGAAGGAAGTGAGGCTGTCAGGCCAGGTCAGGACTTTAGACAGTTTAGAGGCCCAGGAAGGGTTTCAAGCTCTGGTGGGTCTTTGGATAGTGTCTGACATCCTTGGTTCCTGACAGCCTTGCTCTTAAAGAGCTGTGTATATTCTGGGCTCTCTCTGGGGGCAGGGGTTAGGGAAAGCCATCCGGATTATGCTCTCCCTTATTCCAGAAGAGACTACAACATGCAAATTAGAATTCTTTTAATAGATATAAAAAAGTACTAAAATACCCATGTGGTTCTGCTGTGTTATTTGCCCTAAAGGAAGTGAGGGGCAGAGTGAAGATCCAGTGCAGCTCAGGGGCCCAGGGCGGGCCTTCCTGTAGGCTAAGGCGTGCTCTTTTCCTCGTCCTCCCTGCTGTCCCCAGCCCCCAATTCCTGCAGCAGGAAGCCCCAGTGGTCTGGCTGTGGCACTGGGAGAAGGCACCTGAGGGCTGGCTGGAGGGGAGGACTGGCTGAGCACAAAGCAGCTCTGCGGCACACGCATGGCCACTTCTCCAGGGCAAGGATGCCCAGATCCCAACAGAATACTTTCTAAAAATGGTTTTTGGTACAAAGTAAATGCAAAGAAGATGAGGGGTGCTGCAGAGCTGGCCAGCCGCCCTCCAGACCTCAGATCATGGCGATGCTCTCGGGGGCACAGTTGAGGTGTGTGGAGGTGCTGCTGCTGCCCGAGGACTTGCAGGCCCTGCCAGGGGCAGGCTGCAGAGCGGCCACCAGAGTGTCTGAAGACACTGCCCCAAACTCATAGCTGAAGGTGCCATAGAAAATGAGGATATCGATGACGAACACCCACTCACACAGGGCTGCCCCGTGCTGTAACTGGGAGCTCTCGTGGACAAAGAAGACGCCACCTGGAACACCGCTAAGGAAGGGCTCAGGAGGCTGTGCGGGGACCTGGCAGCACCCCTTCTGCAGTCCCACACATTGATCAGGCTGGGACAAGGATCAGGCCTCCCCATGGACAGTGTGGACTACAATCTACTAGGCCCACCCCATCTAGGAGGAGAAAGGAACTAGTGGGTGAGTTCCTGGCCACACCATCTTAGAAGGATACTGAGGACCAGGGTGACGAAGGCGATGGCAGCCAGCACACTGCGCAGGTAGGCCACCACCAGGTCCAGGGGGGTGGCTGCTCCATGGTAGGACAGGGCACAGTGCAGGCAGACAAAGAGCAGCCCTGCAGGGAAGGCCACACCAGCTCCCACGTAGTGCAGAGGCTTGGCATGGTCCACCTGACAAGGCAGAGGCTCATCGTAAGGTCCCCCCACATCCACAGAGCTGGCGCCTGAGCCCAGGAGTGCTCTACCAGGGAGCCATATCCCCAGCCCTTATTTTTTGAGATGGGATCTTGCTAAGTTGCTGAGGCTGGCCTCAAACTTGAAATCTTCTTGCCTCCGCCTCCCAAACTGCTGAGATTACAGGTATGTGCTAACGTGCAGGCCCTCCTGTCCCTCCCAGCCCCTCTCCTCCACCTCCACCTTGAGGTGGTGCCCCTGCAGGCAATCAGGCCCTACTAGGGGAAGTCCATAGGGTGTTGGGGGGCACCTGAAAGTTGCCAACCACCACGAGGCCCACGGCGTTGGTGCAGCCTGTGATGAGCGCTGTGGTGTTAACCCAAGAGTGCCGGCTCTGCTCCAGGAGCTGCCCATACCGCAGGAGGCAGATGAGGGCCACTGGGGGAGGAGACACTGCTGGGGCCAGCCTGGCACTTCCGGCCAGTCCTGCCCCTTCCAAGGCCCTTCTGAGGGCCCAAAGGGGACAGACAAGGCTGGGACTGGCAAGTAGCTGGGGTGGCAGTGTGGGAGCTGGCCTTTGGTCCTCAAGGAACAGGAGAGCTGCTACCCCTCTGGTCTCCCCTTGGAGGATGGCTGAGGAGCAAGGCCTTCTGGACCTTCCTGAAGAGTGTAGGGGCTGACAGAACTGGTGAGGTGGGGCTGAGGTACCACTTACCCATGAAAGCACCCACGTTCCCAATGAGGCTGAAGAGGCAGCTCTCGGGGGGGTAGGTGCCGCACTTGCTGTGGAGGGAAGGATGGCATGAGGCAGCAGCACTGGTCAGCCCCTCTGTCCCCCGCTTCCTTGGTCTGCCTGCTCCTCAGTGGGCAAAGCACTGAGTGACGAGGAGGGCTGGTGAGCCCCATAAACACTGGCCCCAGACTGAGCCCCCAGCAGAGCCCTGTGTGGAGCGATTAAGGGGTTCCCTGGAGTACCCTGGAGTGCTGGCGAGCTGAGTCCCTGCTGAGGCCTCTGGCTGGGCAACCAAGGATGTCAGCTTAAATCCAGCTGCCTACTTACTATCTCTGACCTGCCCAATAACTCTGAGCCTCAGTTTCTTCACCTACAACAGAAAACAGCAGCCTCCCTGCTGGGAGAATTAAGGGGCATCACACACATCGCCTTCAGCAGAGCCAGCTCCTAGCAACCAAATGGTATTAAGTAGCTCTTAGTATGATGATTATTCCTGTGACCCAGGGACAGGCCTTGGTTTAAGGGCTTTCTGGAAGTCTGGGAGGACTTTATGTCTCACTGACTTACCTGATGAGGGGGACATCGTCCAAAGTACAGCATGTCTTGGGGCCCCCTTGCTCAGCAGGGTCAGGAGAGCAGGACTCGTTGTAGGACCTGGCAGGCAGGACACTGAGTAGACTGGGGGAGGGGGTGCCCTAGGCCTTGAGGAGGACCCGCTCCCAGACCTCCCCAGCAAGGAACCAGAGCCTGCTCCCCAGAGCCTGCCTGAAGCAGAAGCCAGAGGGGTGAAGGGATGGTGGAAGGTGGGCAGATGGGCAGGAAGCCGTGCCTGGGACCAATGTCAGAGAGGGAGGCCCAGGGCCTGCGCCCAGCTGTGCAGCAGAGGGCCGGGGAGGGGACAGATGAAGGGAACTCTAGAGCGAGCTGCCTGCGGAGCACTGCATACCAGTTCTCCACGGGACACACGTGGCGGTTCATCACTGCCATGGCATACCTGTGGGAGGAGAACCGTCACCCTTCGGACAGTCCTTCCTGGCCCAGCCACCCCCTGCCTCTCCATCTTGACTCCTAGTCCCATCCAGGCTGTTGGCCTTGCTGGGTCCTTGGGCCGGGATCGCGGCTGGGCTGAGCGTTGACTACACCAGAGCTGCGGCAGGGCCCCAGCTGGAAACCCTCTGGAAACTGCCCAGGCTACAGCCTGTCAGTCGGTTCTTGGGCTGCCCGGCAGTGGTGCCAGCTTGTCCAAGGGGCTGTGTGCCCAGGCACCAGGCCAGGCTTCGGAGGCAGCCAGAGTGACCCTGGGCACCACCCTGGAGCCTACTACAGGACAAGGGACATTGTGTGTGCCATCAAGCATCAGGTCGCTGTCCCCCGCCCCCCAGCCCCTCTTACTTACACAGTCCATATGCCAGTGATGGAGAACGCTGACAAGCTGACAGGAAGGAGGATCCAGGCGGTCATGAGGGAGGGGAGCCAGGGTGGTGGAGGTGAGGGGCGGACAGCAGGCAGGTGGGGGAGAGGGGGCGGGCCACAACCATCAGCTGCCCCGGCCTGGTGGGGAAAGAGATCGAAGTCCAGGGTCCCCTGCCAAAGCAGGAAAGGGGCGGGGGAGGGGAGGCGGTCCACACCTCGCCCTGGCCGGTGGGCGTGCAAACTTTGGGCTGCGCCCACGCCTCAACCTGCAGCTCTGGGTACCCGCAGGGCCCCGGCGTGCCGCGCGACTCCACGGGCAGCGGCTTCGGCAAGGGACCCCTCCCTCGCCCT